AAGAGACACACAGAATGTTCATTTTTTGGCTATTAATAGCCCCAAAACTTAAATGACCTGAATAGTGGATAAATTGAAGCATATCCATCTAATAAAATAACAGTGAGAAAAATGAACTACAAACATCAATGAATCTTACGATATAATACAGTAGTACACCCTTTTCTATGCTTTTGCTTTGAGAACACAGTTACCCACAGCATACACTACAATGAAATATTTTCAGACCATATTCAGGAGGATTGCTGGAGGCCGGGAGCTCAATACCAGCCTGGGCAACAGAGTGAGACCCTGTCTCTACAAAACACAAACAAAAAACTGGAAAAGAAAGTACTATGCTGGGCACAGTGACGCACACCTGTAATCCTAGCACTTGGGGAGGCCGAGGCAGGTGGATCACAAAGTCAGGGGTTCAAGACCAGCCGGACCAACATGGTGAAACCCTATCTCTACTATGAATACAAAAATTAGCCGGGCACGGTGGTGCATGCCTGTAATCCCAGCTACTCAGGAGGCTGAGGCAGAATTGCTTGGACCTGGGAGGCCGAGTTTGCAGTGAGCAGAGATCGCGCCACTGCACTCCAGCCTGGGTGACTGAGAAAGACTCCGTCTCAAAAAAAAAAAAAAAAAAAAAGAAAAAAAAAAGTACTGCATATACAGTATTTTATTAGTTGCTAACCTCTAACTGTGCCTAATTTGTAAATTAAAACTTCATATGTATGTACATATAAATAAGAAAAAACCAATATATATACAATTTGGTACTCAGGTTTCAGGCATCCACTGGGGGTCTTGAAATGTACAGTAGTGACCGGGCATGGTGGCTCACATCTGTAATCCCAGCACTTTCGGAGGCCAAGGACAGCAGATCACCTGAGGTCAGGAGTTCAAGAGCAGCCTGGCCAACATGGTGAAACCTTGTTTCTACTGAAAACACAAAAATTAGCCAGGCGTGGTGGTGGGTGCTTGTATCCCAGCTACTTGGGAGGCTGAGGCAGGAGAATTGTTTGAACCCAGGAGGCGGAGGTTGCAGCGAGCCGAGATCGTGCCATTGCACTCCTGCCTGGGCCACAAGAGTGAAACTCCATCTCAAAAAACAAAACCAAACAAAACAAACAAAAACAAAAACAAAACATATAGAAGGACAAAGTATCATAAATAGGGTGAAGTTATCAGAGAAATGCAAGTATAGTGTATGCTAGAAAATCAAATACAGTCATGTGCTGCTGTAGACCTTTCAGTCAGCAGACCACATACACAATGGTGGGTGGTCCCATTGAGTATAATGGAGCTGAAAAATGCCTATTGCCTAGTGACCGCTTAGCTGTCATGCGGTAGTACATTGTTACATGTGATGCTACCAGTTGTATAAAGGTATAGCACATATAATTTATGTGCAGTACATAATAATAATAAATGACTATGTTACTGGCTATTCATTATATTTTAAGGTTGTAGTCCTTCTATTATTGTTGTTATTTTTTGAGTTTCGTTCTTGTCACCCAGGCTGGAGTGCAGTGGTACCATCTTGGCTCACTGCAACCCCCACCTCCTGGGTTCAAGCTATTCTCCTGCCTCAGCCTCCCAAGTAGCTGGGATTATAGGTGGGCACCGCCACACCAGCTAATTTTTGTATTTGCAGTAGAGATGGGGTTTCACCACGTTGGCCAGGCTGGTCTCAAACTCCTGACCTCAGGTGATCCGCCCGCCTCGGCCTCCCAAAGTGCTGGGATTACAGGAGTGAGCCAGGACGCCCTGCCTTTTCTGTACCTTTTCTGTTTAGATGCACAAACACTTACCATCATGTTACAACCGCCTTCAGTATTCAGTATAGTAACATGTACAGGTTTGTAGCCTGGAGCAATAGGCTGTATCACATGGCCTAGATGTGTAGTAGGCTCTGCCATCTAGGTTTATCTAATTACACATTACACTCTACAATGTTCATACCACAGCAAAATTGCCTAACAACACATTTCTCACAACATATCCCTGTAAGGTGGGGCGCAGTGGCTCACGCTTGTAATCCCAGCACTTGGGAGGCTGAGGTGGATGGATCACTTGAGGTCAGGAGTTCGAGACCAGCCTGGCCAGCATGGTGAAACTGACTCTACTAAAAATAGAAAAAATTAACAGGTGCACACCTGTAATCCCGGCTATACTCTGGAGGCTGAGGCAGGAGAATTGCTTGAACATGGGAGGTGAAGTTTGCAGTGAGCTGAGATTGTGCCACTGCACTCCAGCCTGGGCGACGGAGTGAGACTCTGTCTCAGGGGGAGGAAAAAAAAAAAAAAAAAAAAAAGAACATATCCCTGTAGTTAAACTACATATACCTGTGTTACACAATACATTAACTATTAGAGAGGCAACTGAATCTTGTCTCAATAGGAGCAGAAAAAGGACTGATAAGATTGAACATTCACTTGTGACCAAAAACAGAAATAGAGAAACCCCATCTCTACGAAAAATACAAAAACTAGCCGGGTGTGTTGGCGGCTCCTGTAATCCCAGCTACTCAGGAGTCTGAGGCAGGAGAATTGCTTGAACCTGCCGAGATCATGCCACTGCACTCCAGCCTTGGCAACAGAGCAAGACTCTGTCTCGTTTAAAAAAAAGACAAAACAAAACCCAAAAAACAAAAAACAGAAGTCGAAGACAAATGCCGCTAGGTGCAGTGGCTCAAGTCTGTAACCGCAGCACTTTGAGGAGGCTGAGGCAGGCGGATCACCTGAGGTCAGGGAGTTTGAGGGCAGCCTGGCCAAGATGGTAAAACCCCATCTCTACTAAAAATACAAAAATTAGCCGGACGTGGTGGAGGCATGCTTGTAATCCCAGCTACTCGAGAGGCTAAGGCTGGAGAATAGCTTGAAATCAGGAAGTGGAGATTGCAGTGAGCAGAGATTGCGCCACTGCACTCCAGCTGGGTGATAAGAGTGAAACTCTTTTTTTTTTTTTTGAGACGGAGTCTCGCTCTGTCGCCCAGGCTGGAGTGCAGTGGCCGGATCTCAGCTCGCTGCAAGCTCCGCCTCCCAGGTTTACGCCATTCTCCTGCCTCAGCCTCCTGAGTAGCTGGGACTACAGGCACCCACCACCTTGCCCGGCTAGTTTTTTGTATTTTTTAGTAGAGATGGGGTTTCACTGTGTTAGCCAGGATGGTCTCGATCTCCTGACCTTGTGATCCGCCCGTCTCGGCCTCCCAAAGTGCTGGGATTACAGGCTTGAGCCACCGCGCCCGGCCTATTTTTTTTTAAGACAGAGTTTCGGCCTGATAGTTATCTAACAAGAACCTACAGTAAACATCTATCTTGATGAAACACTGAAACACAAAGGTGTCCACCCACACCATTTGTGAGTTAATAATGAACTGGGCTAGCCTTGGCATCATGGCTCACACCTTTAATTCCAGTGTCTTTCGGAGGCTGAGGTAGGAGGATCACCTGAGGCTAGGAGTTAAAGACCAGGCTGGGCAACATGGTGAGACCTCCGTCTATACAAAAATAGAAAAAATAAAAAATAAAAAAAAACAGAGTTGGGGCTGGGTGTGGTGGCTCGTGCCTGTAATCCCAACACTTTGGGAGGCCGAGGCGGGCAGATCACTTGAGATCAGGAGTTCGAGACCAGCCTGGCCAACATGGTGAAACCCCGTAACTACTAAAACTACAAAAATTAGCTGGGCAAGGTGGCGTGTCCCTGTAATCCCAGCTACTTGGGAGGCTGAGGCAGGAGAAATCGCTTGAACCCGGGAGGCGGAGGCTGCAGTGAGCCGAGATCAAGTCACCGCACTCCAGCCTGGCGACAGAGCCAGACTCTGTCTTAGGGGGGAAAAAAAGGAAAAAAAAAAAAAAAAAAAAAAAAAAAAGAAACAGTTGGCAAGGAGTCTGGATACACAATATACAAAAATCAATTGTTTCTATGCTGCCAAACAACAACGAAACAAAGAAAAAACCCAGTTAATACAGACATCTTTTGAGTTTCCACAGCCAGCCTTGGGGGCTCCCTCCTTTCCAGGACCAGAACCACTCCAGCAGTACCAGTCTTAGGGATACACTGCTCCCTGCCTCCCCCGGGTAGCCACCAGAAGTGTCTGGTCCAGTGCCTTTCGGTATCAGGGGGGCCTGCAGACCCTACTGTATGCCAGCAAGCAGGTCTTTCTCATAACTTTCACAGGCCTGGCCTGGAGTCTCTGGAATTCCTTCTTCTTTTTCCCTAGAGAGCTTTCTGGACCTTGAAGATGGCAACTTAGCAGCCCTTACTCAGGGAGAGCTTTCTGGACAGGTTCAACTTCCTCCTGCTGAATCTCCTGGTTTCCTGTACCTCACCCTCGTCAGTTTCAATTTTCCACTGGCCTGGGGGACTGTCTCCTCTGTAAACATGTTCCATGTCGTCTGTCTCACTGCCCACAGAGCCAAAAGTGCAGTGCCAGGAGCATGGTAAGAAACTGCGCTGGATGGTAGGCCTTTGGGACCCGGGCAGCCAGCATGTTAGCCTTTCTAGTCCCTGGGGACAGCTGGATAGGTACAGAGGAGGGCAGAGGCAAAGGGAGAGCTTGGCCACACTGCCAAGCCCATTTCCTCCTTGTGGCTTTGCTGGCACTGCTTACCTGTGGCAGTGGCTGGCACATCCATGCACTCCCAGTGCTGACTCTCACTCAGAGGGCAAATTTTGTATCTAGGTGGCAAAGGGGGGCACTGCAATGCAAGGCATCCAGGGCAATCTCAGTCCATTGCACTCAGAGCAGCACCCCGACACCTCTGAGACTGGCTGAGCTGAGCAGACAGCTCCTCGGTCGACCCTGCCTCTCAGGGTAGACTCTGCTCTCTCAGGGACTCCAGGGCTCGGGCTTCCGGCTCTGCTCCGAGAACAGCCTCCCACATGCGTGCTGGATTTCGGACATGTGAACTTCCCGAACACACACCAACGCAAAATACACTCAATGTGAGGCAGACAAAGGGGGGAAACCGATTCTAGTTCCAAAGAGCAAATGAGTGTGTGAAAGGTACTTGGTTCAAATTAATGGTTTTATTTCCATCTTTAACACTAGCAGAGGAGTCCAAAGCAGACTGATATCCATGGATATAGTTTAAATGTAACAAAGAAAGAGCTGAACTATGTACATTGAAAAAAGGAAAGACATTTTTTTCATACCAACCTTTCCCTAGTTCGCAGTTTCTGAATAGTAGAAACAAAACACATTTTTAAATCCTTTTATCAATTTAATTTAGGACGAAGTAACACAACTTTTATAATTAACCACTGAAGTTGTCTTTAAGGATAAAACTTAAAGAAATTTTAAAATGGGTGGTACCATATTTTATTAGTGGACTGACTCCAAGGTTGCCTTGCTCCAAGTCTGGGCATCATGACACTCGCACGATGCCCAGAAGAAAGTTAATGGCAATGATGTTCAGTCAGAGGGCAGACACGCTACACATCACAATGATGAGAGCTGAGGATTCTGCACTCTTCAACTCCAAGTAGAAAATTATTATTTTCATTCAAACTAACTGGAAGTGAGCCAAACAGTTAAAAAGTCAGAATGAAGAATAAAACAATTTTCTTTTCACATAGAGGAGGGACACTCCTTCAGCCCCGTCTAAAGTGAATTCTGTGCTGAGTCCCTGCTCCTTCAGAAGGGTAACCTGAAGGTCAGTTATTGCTAACAAAGCCAGAAGTGGCCCCTTTCCCACTCTGAAGATGTTTCACACGAAAAGGCCGTTAGTTTGGCTTGCAGCCCTCTGAGGAAGGAGGACAGCGGAAGAGGAGGCAGGCTGGCACTGTAAGGCCTCTCCTGTTAGCCACCCCCAGGCCCTGTGCTGTCAGGGGCAGTGGGGGCCACTTTGCTGCCCTTCAGAGAACCTGAGGCTCCCACATACCTGTGGAGTGAGGGAGAGGTTGTCATCTGGGCCCGTGTTTCACCCATCAAAACCTATGGAGCAGTCAAAGCCCAAAGGATCCAAGCCCAGCTGGCCAGAGGAGTAGCTTCTGAAACAAATGGCACTGGGTTGGGAAGGATGAGAAAGCCAAGTCAGGTGGGCCAGGTTCTCCGAAACATGGGGCAACAGTGACTTGGGCAAAAGCCTGGAACTGAGCGGCTGATAAGGCCACAATTACTGCCACCACCTCTCAGTATCTACGCGGGGGCAGACATTAGGCAGTGGGAACTGAGGAACTGAGGACTGGAGGGCGTGTGGCAAACACAGGATGGATTTCATCAGAAAAGAGAGGACACCCAAACACGTGCCTGCCCTATTTATCTTGCATGTCCTGTGCCAGGTGAAGGATGCTGGAGCATGGGTAAGGTTCCTGAGAACAACTGGCGGGCAGAAACGGGCTGGGATGGGCACTGCTCCCCAGGCAACATTAGGCCTCTGAGGGGGACGCTAATAGTGCTACATCTTGTGGGCTGTTGAAAAGTAGGTAATGAATGGCCTTTATTGCACTTTTTTGTTCTTAGGAAACAGGGGATTGCCCTGCAGTTTCTCCTGATTTGCAGAAATCACTGCAGATCAATGGTAAGGTGCAGGCAGAATCACGGGTGACCTCTGACTCTCAAGGGAAGAAGTCCAGTGATTGGTCTTTCCAGGACCTCAAGGGGCCACTCTTGCACCTGGGATCTTCGAGCTGGGTGAACTGGGTCTGGCTTGGTCAATGTGTGGCAGGCAGATTGGTCGACCGGCAGACACTTGGAACAAAAGGTGGTGTGCCTGGGAAAGCTGGGGCAAACTTTCCAAACAAGGAAAATTTCTTGGCAAATGTGCAGGTTCTGCAACCAGACTAGAACCACGATTCCCAATGTGCCTGACTCCCTTTCTCCCACTCTAGAACTGGACCACCCCAGAGGAACAGAGATGGCCTGGGAGGGCCCTGGGTCCAGCGCCATAGCATCAAACTGGAGATAACAAAAAGAAGGGGTTGGAAACAAAAGAGCAGTTTACATATCAGACGTTGGTTTCGAAACAGTCTTTTTGAGCTCAGGAAAATGGAGGCAGATACCACTGGAGAACCTGTCTGTCTGTCTGTCTGTCTGTCCATCCGTCTCTCCTGGGCGACTCTGAATACTTCATATATAAATGGGGTGGTACCGTTTGTGGTTGATCTTTTTCCTACAAGTTGGGCAAGTATTAGCATTCTTCAGGGAATCGCGGAGGCACTGGCTACAGAAGACATGGCCACACTCTGTGGAAACAATGAGACGTCCATTCTGCACAATCTAGAAGGGATTAAAAAGAAGAGCCTCTGAGTTTGTCCTTATCCCAGAGCAGCCATGGTCCCCAGAGAATCCTACTCATCTATGCCTAAGATGACCAATTGAAGGAAAACAAGAGCCAGGCTGCAACAGGGAGGGGTCTGGAGAGCTAACTGTGCCTGCTGCGATCGCTCTAAGCTGGAGAGGAGGAGGCAGGGACCATGGCACCTCAACAGTGTGACAGCCCAAGGTTATGAGGGACGCCAGTAAACACTAGCAGCTTCCAGAAGAGTCAGGATGGGGGACACAAAAGGAGGACGCATTTACACCCGGAAGCTCAAGGCATACAGGGGTACAGGCGCTGAAGGTGAAAGTTGTAGGGTCCAAGGAGAAACTGGCACATTCTCCCCTCACAAGCAGATCTGCAGCAAGTGATGCCCAGGCACGACTGCGAGTAGGGCTGTCCAGCCCCACCAAGGGAGAAGATCCTGTCTCATCCAATTCTTTCAATGAAGTTTAGAAACCAGAAGCAAGGAAGATACAGCTTGGTTTACTTACCTCAGAGTATCCATCCATGCAGATAGGACAACTGACAGTACCCGAGGGCCTAAGAGCACAGTGCTTCACATTAGTTTTTCAGTCAATGCAAACATTTTATTATACCCCATAAGTGGCCTTCATCCCCTACAAGAGAACCATCCCGGCCTCCTGACTCTGCCTTAGCACAGGCATCCAAGAGACTTTCAGAAAAGCCAACTGCCCCAAGGGCATGTGGCAGGGTGAACATCAGAAGGTGCAGACAACCTGAGTCACCCTGCCCTCCCCCAGGTCCCTACTGGCCCCAGGATCCCTGTCTGGAGTCACTGGGACTGCCTGCGCCCACTCTGTCAGCGCTCAGCATACTCTGGTTACAGTGGAAACAGCTGGGCTCAGTTCTGGGCCAGGTTCCAACTGTATCCAGATGCTGGGGAGAGGCTTGGTCAAGCCCTGTCAGGGCCAAGCGCTCACAGATGTGCTGAAAAGCATTCCTATGCCCTGGCCCCACCCCCTAGAGCATGGCAGCAGCAGAGCTGGGGGCATGTTGGTACCTGAGGCCTGTAGCGCCCTCATCCCTGGTGTTTCTGGGAGTGTGGGTAGTCACATACACGTCTCTGTCCCTGGACAACTCCTCATCGTCACTGCTCACCACGCAGCTGTCAGCATGGTCCTGGGGCAGCCTCCTAGCATTCCTCCTTGGTCTTCTTCTTTCTGAGGTAAGAGGTCACATTTTCCGGCTGGAGGCTCCCTACTCTTGCCATCCTCACCGCCCCCATCCTGATGCCTCTTAAGACCCTCTTCCCTCCCTGACCGGGACCCCCAGAGAGAAACTGCTGCCATGCTCAGCTATAACCCAGAAGGTTCTGCCCAGCTCTGGAGGCCACTATCTTATCTTCTCAGGAGAAATGCCCCAACCCCTGCTGTGAGCTACCAGCCTTCCCCAAAATCTGGTAGGCCACAAGAAAGGACGACAGCTCAGTGTCAGTGATAGGGGTGAAGTTTCTTCAGCAGGCACAAGTGGACTGCCTGTGCGGGTCTGAACACAGTATGTGTGAAGGGATCTTCCTGCTTGGAGAGCTCCAAGCCCTTGGGGAAGGTCTGCCAAGGCCTGTGGCACCGCAGCTCTCACCTAAGGCAGTTTTTGCTCCAAACCCAGTGAAAAAGGAAATGAAACCACTTACCATCAACAATCTTGTAAAAAGAAGGAGAAAAACAAAAGAGAAACAAGCAATCAGTTTGATATAAGTGATAAATGAAGGCATTTCTTTTTTCTGACCTGTGACACCCTCTGTGGAACCCTCCGGTGAGCAGCAGGGGCCCCACCCTCCTCCCACCCGCAGAGTATCTGTGCACCTCCCCCAGTCAATCAAGCCCATTTCCCAGGTCACTCCACCTCCCAGCCGATGTGCTGTGTCTCTCCCTGTTGGGTGTTTAGTGGAGTCTCTGGGAGCGTGAACAGCCACAGCCACAGCCACAGCCACAGCCACAGCCACACCATGTGCTGGCTGCAAGACCTGGGGACCTTACTTACTATCTGGGGGCTGCAGCTTCCTCTTCTGAAAAACAGAGTCACCAGAGCCCACATCTGACTGTGGTGTTGTGAGGATTACATGAGGCAGGGAACATTCAGACAGCACTAGGGGCACCATGCTTTCGCAAGCTGACACGGCCGATGTAGGCCCCTGTTAAGGTGGAGCCTTCATGTGGAGAAGGATTTGCACTGCTCAGTAGGTTGTTACAAATAACTAACAAAGAAAAGCAGGCTATGCATGACCAGTGCGTGTGACACACACCAAGGACAGAGCTCAATCCAATTCTGTGTCCTGGGGGTCTAAGAACCTGACAAGCCCCTTACCTGCCAGCTCAGAACTTACAGCTAGACAATTTCTGCTCCAACAGTTTCAAATTCAGTTCCTCCCACCTTCTGGCCAAGTGCTCTTACCCATCTAGGGAGGTCAGTGGAACGCCCTTTCCCTCTTGCTCAGCATGCAGGAGGGACTGCTTCAGGAAAAGTTCTCACCACCAAAGCCCTACTGCTCACCTCACCCTGCCTGTTCCCTGGGCAGGATATCTGCCCCACAGTGACAAGAAGCTCTAATCCTCTACTCTGACTCCCGCACAGCTAGGATCCTGGACGTGAACCATGTTCCCTCAAACAGACACACTCATGCTACTGGCAGGGCAGGGGGTGGAGGCCGACTTGAGCTGCTGTGGGTGTTGGCACTGGCAGGCATAGCTGCATCATGAAGAAACAGTTCTGGCAGAGGCTGCTATGTCTTGAGTCCAGGCCTCTCCTCCCTAGAAAGGGTCTGCAGTACTGTCTACTCGAACCCAAAGATATGAGTGCAGGGAGTGGATCCCACCTCCAGACTTTCTTCGTGGAGCAGACATAGCAGCTCCCTAGGTGGGTCAATACTTCGAGGTCAAGAGTTATTCCTTGCGACGCAGCCCAGAGACTGCTGATTTAGGCTTCTCCTTCCATGTTAAAATCTACTAAGCTTAAGAATAATTAGAGTGGATTTTGTTTCCCATATGGCATCCTGACATACACAAATGGCCATGCAGGAAGAATATAGGCCTGAGTATAAAGGTCTTCGATTTGCAGATGAGAATATAATCCACACATGTGGAGGCACTGAAAAGTGCTCCCCTTTCCTCTTAGAGGAGACTGCAGAAGGTGAAAAGGGAAATCCAGGGACAATCAGTCAACCTCATCAACAGGACCAAACTTACCAGGGCCAGCACAATGTACTGTCCACATGAAATCTAGAAAGGAGGCTCTGGTAACAGTGCTGGCCCTTGTGGAAACCCCTGGGTTTAGCTGGGAGCAGAAGCAAATTCTTCTGTGGCTTGAAATGATCCCAGCTTTCTACAGCTCCAGCATGCCCCCACCCTCTGCCAAGATGACCCACTAGTTAGGTGTGGACACCTGGAAGGGCTATGACACTCCCAGTTCCCCAGCCATGAGAGTGTGGCCTTCATGGTCTCCTGTGAGTCATACCCAGTTTGCCCCTGGATGGTGCCAAACTGAGGCCTGTCCTGAGCCCTGAGCCCAGGGGCTGCTGGCAAGCAGCAGGTGATATACACACAACTACTGGGTGCATAAGAACAGGGGGGGCCAGAGTATTTCCTCACTGGTAACAATTCTGACTGTCCCCACTTTCAATGAGAGAAAAACAGCTTACAGATGAGTCTTCAGCATAAGAATGACACCACAGGCCAGGCGCAGTGGCTCACAACTGGAATTCTAGCACTTTGGGAGGTGGAGGTGGGTGAATCACTCAAGGTCAGGAGTTGGAGACCAGCCTGGCCAACAAGGTGAAACCCCGCCTCTACTAAAACTACAAAAATTAGCTGGGCGTGGTGGTGGGCGCCTGTAATCCCAGCTACTTTGGAGGCAGAAGCAGGAGAATCACTTGAACCCGGGAGGTAGAGGCTGCAGTGAGCCAAAATCATACCATTGCACTCCAACCTAGGCAACAACAGTGAAACTGTCTCAAAAAGGAAAAAGAAAAAAAAAAAAAAAAAAAAAAAAAAGCCCGGGCAGGGTGGCTCATGCCTGTAATCCAGCACTTTGGGAGGCCAAGGCGGGCAGAACACCTGAGGTCAGAAGTTTGAGACCAGCCTGGCCAACAAGATGAAACCCCGCCTCTGCTAAAACTACAAAAATTAGCTGGGCATGGTGGTGGGCACCTGTAATCCCAGCTACTTGGGAGGCTGAGGCAGGAAAATCACTTGAACCCAGGAAGTGGAGGCTGCAGTGAGCCAAGATCGCGCCATTGCACTCCAGCCTAGGCAACAATAGTGAAACTGTCTCAAAAAGAAAAAAAAAAAAAAAAAAAAAGCCTGGGCGCGGTGGCTCATGCCTATAAACCCAGCACTTTGGGAGGCCGAGGTGGGCAGAACACCTGAGGTCAGGAGTTTGAGACCAGCCGGACCAACATGCAGAAACCCCGTCTCTACTAAAACACAAAATTAGCTGGGCGTGTGGTGGTTCATGTCTGTAATCCCAGCTACTTGGGAGGCTGAGGCAGGAGACTCACTTGAACCTGGGAGGCGGAGGTTGTGGTGAGCCGAGATCGCACCATTGCATTCCAGCTTGGGCAACAAGAGTGAAACTCCGTCTCAAACACACACACACACCCCACAGCCTGGCCTCTCAGCTGGTGGCCAATACAGTATTGATTACTGGTGTTCCCTCCACACAGTGGCCAAGTCATATCAAATTCCAGAATCCCTGCAGACATCTCAAGAACTCTGTAATGTACTTAACTCACAGCTGTGGCCCTGCAGGTGGCACAGTGCTTGCCTAGCACAGAAGATGGGTGCAAGGGGAAGAGTACCAGCGCTTCATGAACGCCTACCGGATGAGTTGAGAGATGGATAGAGGTGCAACACAAGCTCTGTGGCCTCTAATCCATTTGAGAGGCCTTTAAGATAAGTAAAAAAACAAAACTGAAATAAGAACAATGAACTAATCCCCTGGACTGAATAGTTTAATTAGTACTGTGGTAAGCTAGCCCAAGACCAGAAATTCACACTTCCTGGGCTGGGCATGGTATCCCACACCTGCAGTCTCAGCACCATTGGCATCATGGGATGCCAAGGTGGGCTGAATCGCTTGAGCTCAGGAGGTCGAGACCATCCTGGGAGGGCAACATGGCGAGACCCCGTCACTACAAAAAATACAATTAGCTGGGCATGGCAGTGAGTGCCTGTAGTCCCAGTACTCCGGAGGCTGAGGCAGGAGGATCTCTTGAACTTGGGAGGTTGAGGCTACAGTGAGCCGAGATTGGGCCCCTGCCCTCCAGCCTGGGCAACAGAGGAAGACCCTGTCTCAAAAAGAGAAAAGAAAAAAGAAAAGAAGAAGATTCACTCCCTCATACATTCTATTTTACTCTAACTTCATAACTATGGAGAAGAGCCCACAGGTCAGAGCATTTAGAGACAAGTGGGCCTGCAGCAGGCACATCTGATTGGTCACTCGAAGCCCCTTTGTGCTTCTAAAAGCACAGGTGAGCCTCAGAACACCTCTGCATTAAAGAAACAAGTATAGGAATCACTGGGGTCCCATACACTCAGGCTGGCCCCTAGCATTTCTAGGAATGTTCACCCAGCCGAGAGCACCGAGACACACTTGCTTTAGACAACTTCACAGCTCACAGCACTGCCCATTGCTCCACTGGAGACACAGCCATCTCCAAGCACTGTGCACACAAAAGGCTACTCGATGTCCAGTAGCTACACACATCATGCAGTTACTGACGCCTGTTAAGTGGAGCACTGGCAGGAGCGTTGGGAAGACTGGTGCTGACAATTACGTTCTAGCTGAGCAGCCAACCCATCTTGACTAATTCCTGGATATGATATTTGGGCTTTCCTGAGCTCTTCTTTCTTCCTATAGAATTGGGCTGGCTCACTTATTCCAACAGTGTGCCTCCTGTGTCCTTTATACCCGGAGATCTACAGGGTTCTGTCTCTTCCTTCCTTCCAGAAATATCAAGCATCCTTTCTACAGAGTCTCATAAATGGAAAACCAGGCAGGATACAGAATAAAACACAAATAGTATGACTTATTAATACACTGTAGAAACAGACCAAAAAAAGATTCCAGAAAAATCAACCTTACTAAGAGACAATATTTGGAAATTTAAGAAAAACAGCCTAACTAACATTTTCAATAATCTCCCCCTAAAAAATCTCGATTCCTTGAAGAGAGGTGCCAGTCTCTTTTCTACCACTGCATTGCTTCTAGCCAGAGCAGAGATGGGCATACTGAAAATGCTCATGAAGTGATCCAAGGCCAGCCTCAGTGGTTCACAACTATAATCCCAGCCCTTTGGGAGACCAAGGTGGGAGGATTGCTTGAGCCTAGGAGTTTGAGACCACCCTGGGCAACATAGTAAGACCTTGTCTCTACAAAAAAATATAAAAAATCAGCCAGGGATGGTGGCACACCCCTATAGTCCCAGCTACTTAGGAGTCTGAGGCAGGAAGCTCAACTGAGCCCAAGAGGTACAGGCTGCAGTGAGCCGTGATGGCACCACTGCACTCCAACCTGGGTAACAAAGTGAGACCCTGTTTCAAGGGGGAAAAAAAAAAAAGAAAAAAAATCAACAAATTTGGAAAAGGCACACAAAACAGAAAAAAAAAAAATGATTTGCAGTTAAAAAGCAACCAAGGAGGCTGGG